ACTTACTGCCCTTCTTTAAAATAGGGATGCCCACAAAGCTCATTTAAATAGTTTTGTACTATCCTAATTTATAAAAGGCCATGTGCGCTCTTCTCTCTCTCTCTCTCTTTCTCTGTCCGCAAAAAATTTTCGCCGGACATCACGTCAGAATCGGCAGCGGTATATGGAGAACTTTTTACGGACTTTTGTTGAAAATAATATGTTAGATGTTTTAAATGTATAACCACAATTTTACTTAAAGAAGAAAAATAAAAATTAAAGGCGTATTCGAATGTAGAGAAACAGTATTATTTATGCAACCGGAAAAGCATTAATCCTAATTTATAAAAGGCCATGTGCGCTCTTCTCTCTCTCTCTCTCTTTCTCTGTCCGCAAAAAATTTTCGCCGGACATCACGTCAGAATCGGCAGCGGTATATGGAGAACTTTTTACGGACTTTTGTTGAAAATAATATGTTAGATGTTTTAAATGTATAACCACAATTTTACTTAAAGAAGAAAAATAAAAATTAAAGGCGTATTCGAATGTAGAGAAACAGTATTATTTATGCAACCGGAAAAGCATTAATCCTAATTTATAAAAGGCCATGTGCGCTCTTCTCTCTCTCTCTCTCTTTCTCTGTCCGCAAAAAATTTTCGCCGGACATCACGTCAGAATCGGCAGCGGTATATGGAGAACTTTTTACGGACTTTTGTTGAAAATAATATGTTAGATGTTTTAAATGTATAACCACAATTTTACTTAAAGAAGAAAAATAAAAATTAAAGGCGTATTCGAATGTAGAGAAACAGTATTATTTATGCAACCGGAAAAGCATTAATATATGTGAAAAAGAGCGCATAAAACTGTGACGTCACTATTGCTTATACATTAACTAATGACGTCATCTGCCGTGTTAAGAATGAAAAGAAATGAACTATTTCATTCAAATTTGATTTAGATCTACGTACACTATGAAATGTATACAATACAATTTTTCCGGCCTAAACTCATAAAATTTATTTTATGTATTTGGATTCTAGATCTAGAGATTCTAGATCTAGACTAAATCTAAATCTAAATCTACGCAATAACTAGATCTAGACGTAGACGCTAAGATCTAGATTTAGACTCTAACTTCTCTAAAATCAATTCCAAAAATAAATGTCTATATTAGGACTAAACTATTTCAAGACTTATTTATTTTATACAAAATCTTTGTTTGGAACTGGCTAATTTGGGATAAAAAATTAATTTGAAAGAATAGGCATATTCGCGTAAGTTAAGATTTTAAAATACATGTTTCATTCTCCGTATTTTATAAGGTGCCTAAATAGCGGAGATGTTAGTGTACATTAAACCACGCAGGTGGTGCGGGTTCGAGACACAGCAAGTCAACTTGGTTAATGTATTCTTTTTTATTATGCTCGGGCTAAATTTTTAAAAAAAATTCTTTTAGGAATCTAGATCTAGATTGTCGGGTGTCCGATATGGCACTTCCCGGCGCCGCAGGCGCTTCAAATTTGGCATGATCTTGCCTTGGTGCGACAGAACACGGGGGCCGGTTGGCCGAAAAGTCTACGATGTGGGGGTCAAAACTGACCTCGACTGACCGGTACCTTATATGAGCTATAAATCGAAAAAAAATGTCCACGGAGGAACCTCTTCATAACTCTTGAGGTCGTAGACCGACCTTCGGGCGTATTAATTAAGCATTCAAATTCTCAATGTTTTCGAAAGCCTAAGCGAAGCTGGGCAGCATGCCTAGTGTATATTAAAAAGCAATTGATTCTCTGAATTATTATTTAAATAAGACGTACTAAACAATGGTATAGCTATAAAAATCTATGTTTACAAATTTGATATTATAAAAGCCAAAAATGAAAAAAATAAACATAACGCGAGAAACCATTCATGAATCAAGCTTACGTCTTTATATATTTTTGACCAGCATGTTTAGTAATATGTTTTCCTAGCCCAAAATGAGTTTGGACTAAATTTGTCTGGTTTGTTCTCTCAGAATGGTTATATATTGCAATGAAGTAGACCAAATTACTCAGTTAGGATTATATATATCCTATATATATATATATATATATATATATATATATATATATATATATATATATATATATATATATATATATATATATATATATATAGGGGGCCCTAATTTTTTCTTTGCGGGGGAGCCTTTTTTTTCTAGTTCCGCCACTGATTCACCGGCTACACACCAGCGTGTAAAAAGTGACAGTAATTAAGTCAACGCGGATGGTGCAATAAAAAGTCGGCACATAACCCAGCGGGTACAATTTTAAGTATACACCGGCTGGCCATTGATTTTTCCGCAGGAGAGATTAGTCGTAGTGAGAATCTAGTCCTAGGCCTAGTACCCTTTCTTTCATTCTGTAGGATTTTTTTGGAAAAGAAGAGATTTCGTGGAAAAGCTATCACGTGACCGACAAAAGCTTTTCTTTTTAAATTTTAAATTCAGTTTTAGTCTGTTATCGATAATCTCGAGATTATACCCCATACGGAAGTTTTCAATTGAGATAGTGACATTTTTAAAACTAGTTTAACAGCGTAGATTTACGCCTTTCGTCCGGTTAGCAGTGAATTACACAGCGTTGTATAACATTTCCTCACCCCCCCCCCCCATCTTTTGTGTGCCTACTAATTTATTACCCCCTCCAACAAACTAATATAGCAAAGATGATTTTTTTTTTAAATTGTCAAAAAAAGTAGTTTTTTTAGGGAGAAAAAAAAACACATTCGAGTAGAATGGTAGAGTTAAAAAATAATTATATTGTGTGAAGAAGATACATGTTAAAACACATTTAACAATAAGCTGCCAAAAGGCCTTAATATGTAGGGGGTAGGGGATGTCCATAAATGACATCATACTCCTAGGGGGAAGAGGGTTCTGACATTTGTGACGATGTGTGACAATGGTTCAGAAAAATGTCACACCACAATTAAACTATATAAAATGTAAAAAAAAATGATAATTGATCTTTTATAAAGTTGACCAGGCTCACGTTATATTTGATCAAGAAATCGGTGCATTAATAAAAAAAAAACAACGAAAAATAATTGCAGTTTTGATGGCGGGGATGGGTGGGGGCGTAGGCTAAGGTCTGGCACTATCTTGGGGGGGGGGGGGGGGGTCAGATTTTTTATGGCGATGCGTAACAATGGCCAAGGGAGGGGGTATAAACATAGGCGTAGCGACCCTTCCCGGCGCCCGGGGACAAACTTTCGATTTGCACCCCACCCTCGAACTTTTCATTTGCACCCCCCTCAAACTTTCAATTTGTTGTTCCAACCAATTTTTGCGCCCCCCTAAGGTCGGCGCCCGGGGACATATGCCCCCCCCCCCCGCCCCCCCCCCTCTCTCTACGCCACTGGGTATAAATCTTTTTTTTTTTAAATGACGTCTTTACAGGTGACCTCCCAGAAAAAGCTGCCAACTCAGGCGAAACTGCCCGCTGTATCTCAAAGCGAGGCTCGACCAGACGATAACCTAGATTTGATTTGATGAGAGCCCTCGCAATCCGGTCAAAACAACAGACGGCGAAAGAATTTCTAAAACTTCGAACTGGTGTGTGGTGAGGGGGGGGGGGGGGGGGATGAGGTCAATGGAAGATTTATAAAACTATTTGTGTGTATGTAAGTACTTACTCATTACTCATGTGAGCGGATAGCGCAGAGTCACACGACTTATCCTTAATATCAAGAGCTAATCGCAGAAGGAAAATATCCGGATGGATAAATAGTTTTTCCATATGAACTACACATTTAAATGAATGCCAAGAGTGTCTGAGTCTATGATGATTTAAGTAAAACAATGGGTAGGAGGGGGAGGGAGGGGGTAAGCTAAAACAGATGTGTTTGACAGAATGACAGGGAACAGTTTGCTAGGAGGCTGCCTATGTAGGGGGCACGTCTACCCCTCCCAGAAAAAAATGTATACATATATATATATATAAACTTAACCCCTTTCCCCACGGACATTTCACGTGACAACTCCCCACCCCCTAGAGAAAAAATATTTGAAAGAAACCCTGAGAGGACGTAAACAGTGACGCGATATTTCTATTGCTCTACAGTTTTTATGGTACTCCTTACTAACCTGGGTCCCAGGTTATTTATAGCCAGGGTTACCGTTGATAGTTGATAGCCGCCTTTTACTTTCCCAACGTAAGACAGGTACCCATCAGAGCTGGGTGGAATCACGGACGAGATCTGAACTCAAGACCTTCGGGCTAGCAGCCAAAAGCTCTACCATTCGACCACGTCTTATATAGAAATGTTTAGACTAAAAGCTGAGTACGTTGTGTTTAGGGGATAGAGAAATGTTTAGATTAAAAGTTGAGTACGTGGTGTTTAGGGAATATAGACATGTTTAGACTAAAAGCTGAGTACGTGGTGTTTAGGGGATAGAGAAATGTTTAGATTAAAATCTAAGTCGGTGGTGTTTAGGTAATACAGTATAGAGGCATTCGGTGCCAAACCATTGGGGTTCCAATCGCTGTTTACAAAGCAAATTACGGAGACAAGGGGAAACCACTCTAATAATTAAAATTTAATTAACGGAAACAGAGAACCACATCATACTACATGATTGTGTGTGTATGTGTGTGTGTTTGTGTGTGGTCCCTGTTCTTGGATCCGTTGACGTGCAGTGTGTAGTAAAAAAGTAAAATTTTGCCTTGAAATTAATGGGGTTAATTGAATGAGCATAATGTTTAAAAATAAAATAAAAATGTAACTTTTCGAAGGTATCTCAGAGCAATAACAAATATCCATAAGAATCATATCACCATATATATATATATATATATATATATATATATATATATATATATATATAGATATAGATATATATATATCATACAGATTACAAATAAACAAAACAGTTTTTTAACTTTAATATGCCTACATTTCCACCACCCCACCCACTCCAAAAAATATTGGGATGGAGTAAACATACTTATCAAGACACCTTTTATTATACTCACTAATCATAGGTATCAGTATTCCACCAATCCCATTGATCCGTATCTAGCGACACTTGTACGCCTACTTAGGCTAGCCTATATTATCGATTTCCAATAACTATCAGCATTATCAAATAATCAATCAAAGCCCTATTTGGAAGATTTCTTATCCTCAGTGCAAATAGTTAGTTATTTTTAACCTTGAATAACATTTCATTCACGGATGAGTGATTTTGTTTTCTTACGATATAAATCCTTGAAAGACAGGACCCCTGCTCGTAAGGTTGGGAATGTAGCCTAATAGGCACAGCGCAGTATTCATTCATGCATTTATTGCAGAAGTGTGTGGCATTTTGCGGATCCAAATTTTAGCGCGGAGCAGTTGTAGAAAAAAAATTCTGGAATCATGTGATGCGGCAACGTGATCTAAAAAAAATGCGTAGGCGGTTCAAAACTTATGCCGCTAGGTCCCAACTCTCAGGTATATGGTTTTAGCAGTTTCAGCATCAAAGTCTAGGCACCCTGGTACCAAAGGCGTAGGCAGGAGTTTGTCAACCATTATAATATATATATATATATATATATATATATATATATATATATATATATATATATATATATATATATATATATATATATATACGTGACGATAAAAATAGAGCCTGCTTTTTTATAAAAAATCTGTAACGTTTTATTTAAAAGATGCATTCACGACAAAAATTCCTCAGCAATTGTCTCTCCTTTTTTTTTAATAATTCGTCCCCATAACGTTTTTCTCAAACCCTGTCTTCACACACTATTCATGCACCCTCCCCCCACATCCCACACATCTCGTCTTAATATCCCAATTTCTTCAATACATTTTCCTCCATCATTAAACTTTAAGTAAAACGTCAACTTAGCCCCAATAACAAAATAATTTTGTTACAGAGCTAAGAACCGCTGATGAAGAAAAAAAATAGCTCATCACGTGCTTATATCTTTATTTATTCTAGAATCTAAAAAAAGGATTAAATATTCTCAGCAGTCTTTGTAAGAATGTAGATATTGTGTTAGGGTCGTCCTTCGTTTGTCTTAGTGCTTGCTTGCTGCATCTTTAAACCCGCAGCACGAATGACGAAGCGCGGTGTGTTGTTTATATTCTCTGTGTTGTGTAAAGTAGGTTGTTCAACGCGAGTCACGTTGTGTTGTAGGCCCCTATAGGATGTGTTGTTTAAACTGTGTCATGTATTCTGTGTCGCGTAACGTATGTTGTACTGTCTTTTTTGTGTTATGTAATATTTGGACTGTGTTATAGTGTGTTATGTAAATTAACATTGTTAGGTAGTCTATGTGTGTAGTCAAACGTGTTACTGTGTTCATCTTACTGTAGCATGCTCATGTGTATGTGTGTTGTGTCGATAGAGTACATAACACGGGTTGAATAACACATCATCCACAACACAGAATACATGAACAACACACCTCCTACACACCTTGCTTGTACTCCCTACTTCTGGAATGTGTACATCAAGTTGTACACACAAGACAACACGGAACCTACATGTTCTGCTTTAACTGTAGTATAAACAATGCCGGATAGACAACACACACAACTAGTATAAACAACACACACAACTAGTATAAACAACACACACAAGTCCGGATACACAACACACACAACTAGTACAAACAACACACACAACTAGTATAACCACTGCAGGATACAAAACAATGTTTGGACAACTTTCAGTTTCCAGCCACTTGAACTGTGTCTACAAACTAACATTGGTTAGTCCGTCCCGGTGGTACTCGAACCCGGAACTCTGAAGTAGCAGTATTGCGATTTACCACATGACCAGGGATTCCCATAGCCTGGTGACATCCGATGCGATAGCTCAGTGGAACACATTAACGACTATATTTCATCATTTTCCAGTTCGTACCCAAGACTAATGGGGCAGGCGAAGCAGAGTTTGTCTGTTTCAACAGCCGCCGCATTCAGAGGGAGAGTGTACGTTGACAGCACTATGTCCAGCCGCCTTTAGTTTCCTGACTTGAGTCAGGTAGCCATCAGAGCTGGGTGGATTCACAGTTGTACTACGAACTCGCGTGCGGGATCCGAACTTAAGACTTTAATGTTAGCAGCCGTGAGCTCTACCATTCAACCTCGCCGTCCCTTACTACTATATTGTACTAGACCTCTAGAGTGATTTGAGGCATTCGCTTCCCCATTTCCTAGATAGTGCTACCCCAAGATAAATTATATATATATATATATATATATATATATATATATATATATATATATATATATATATATATATATATATATATACATTAATTACTTTTTAAATTAACAAGTCATATTTTCCAAGTTGGAATTGGCAGTCTTTCGGTTTGGGGTCACTGCTTTGGATGACGTCACCCGGTGACGTCTGCTCCCCTCCCCCGCTTACCACGTGACTACACATTTCATTAAAATTTGTTGAATTATTTTATCACATAATGGACATAATATTGTTATAATATTTCAATAAACACAAACCCCTTATTAACTTCCTGTCGTTTAGCATTTCAAAGACTTTGTATTATGTGTACCCCAAATAAAAAAACATGTTAGTTTTTTTCTCATACACGGAACTTAAACCAAAATTCATTTTACTTGAGTTGTGTATTTTTAAAAGCCGGATTCTGACGTTTTCAGCGTACTCAAATCATAAAAAATAACAAACGAAACCACAAGTTAGTGATACTCAGAAACAAAGCTAGGGCTCTCAAAATAGGGCTAAGAGGAGGCAGGGGCGGTCAGCGCGTCAAAAAAAAAAAAAAACAATTTGGTTGAGAGATTAGGCCTGTACCACACGAGGAGAAACATGTACACAACAAGCGGGGAATGCTGGGAGTTCAAGACATAATTCACTTCCTGGTCTAGATATATTTGTCTTGCTAGTGTTACTGTTTCGGCGTGCTAAGTCGTTATACTTAGCTATAGGGGTGGGGTGGGGGGGGGGGGGGGGGTGATGGAAAGGGAAAGGTTATGCAATGTTATACTTTCATGCTTTAGTACATAAATATGCAAGTAGAAAAGTATCCTATCTAACCACAGGGATCATCCATAAACGACGTCACACTCGCATTATAAAAAAGCAATGTTAGAAAACGAATTTTAGACGTTGTTTCGCGTTTTAGATAACTGTTTTAATAAATTGTAATAGTTTAGACAAGATTTTAGAAAAAGACCGATCTTTAAAAAAAAATGCAACAGCAATTTTGAGGGGGGGGGGGTTAGGTTGAGGTGTGACGTCACTTTAGGGGGGGGGGGGGTCTGGCTTTTTGTGACGACGTGTGACGGAGGGGAGGGGGGGGAGGTAAAAATCGTCAAAAAAGCGAGACGTCATTTATGGATGACCCCATACTTGATGCCCTAGAGCAGTATGTAAACAGTAAACCGTAATCATAGTTCAGTTTCAACATTAGTTTTTAAGTTTAAGTAAGACCTGGGGGGAAAAAATAGAAAAAAAAAAAACAACGGCAAAACAACACCCGTCCTACTAGTCCTTTATATGATGCACTTTTGGCTGCACACAAAGTAGTATAGGGGAAACATTTGAATATATATATATATATATATATATATATATATATATATATATATATATATATATATATATATATATATATATATATATAGATAGATAGATATCCGCATAAAGAGTAGAAAAAAAAGAAAAAAAAAAACAGCACACATTACTAACACCCTCGCTATCTTCTAAGACCCCCCCCCTAAGATCTACCAGTGAACATGAACACGTCATGTAAACTTTGGGTGTCTCGTGCCTTAAATTGTCCTTGGCCTAATTATTGTTTATGTCAAGCCGTCTATACTTTTTCGTAATAACAGAACACATGATATGTTTCATGTTTGCAAAATTTCGCTAGGACGGGGACAGGATATACATTGTTGCTACCCTTTCGTAATATTCGCAAAGTTAATAAATACAACCAGACAAAATTACAAGCATATTCGACAAAGCATTGATCAAGCTAATTTATTTCTTGTAAATTATTTAAAAATACCAATCCCACCCCTTTCCGTAAAAAAATCCAGGAAATTGAGCAACTAATACACAAATAATATGCTCCTTTGTTCTCTTTAACTACAGGAAGTTCAAATTAAATTAAACGATCTTTGGAAAGTTTTAATACTTTGACATTCATCGCAAGCGTCACTAATTCTTGCAAACATGTACTTTCGTTTTGAATCGGTTACCTGTGAGGAGTGTTGAATGATGCCGGAGGGGAGTTAATCCAGCATACGCCAAGGTTAAGGTGTTAAGCCAGGTAAATAACAACAAAAACTGCGCAGGCTCCGAAAACTCAAGGTCGTTAAAAAATTACGTTTCACGTTCTAGTTTCAACTCAAGGGAATTAACCACATAAAACTAGGCTGTAATAAACTTATCTTAGTTATGTACCTTGGGTAATCAAATTCATAAGAAATATTCTAGAAATGATAGAAAATATTCAGTTCATGGTTGTCTGCAAGTTTGTGATAAAAAAAAAACAAAAAACTTAATTTTGATGCGTTTCTATCAAGCCGTTTTCTTGCAAGCTTAACAATTTACAAAGCACGTACATCTAATATTCAATCTAATTAATTAGCCATTAAATTAACTTTTAAAAATAAATTAAAAGACAATAACTTTAGACACATTAAGGCAACACATTTGTACTCTCTAAACGTCTTTCTAGTACTTCCTGTTTCGACGCCATTTTTATTTTTCGGACTTCCGGGCGCAATGAAAATAAACAAAAGCAGGATTGTTTTTTTAAATCAGTGAACCAAGTTTTCATCATGAATCTTGTTACAGGGCCATGCGTCACGGATGGGTGGTGTTCAATGATGAGATGAACTGTAAACTATGGGATCCATGTCTCGTGGGACAGAGGTAAATTATGGGATCCATGTCTCGTTGGACAGAGGTAAATTATGGGATCAATGTCTAGTGGGACAGAGGTAAATTATGGGATCAATGTCTAGTGGGACAGAGGTAAATTATGGGATCTGTGGGACAGAGGTAAATTATGGGATCTGTGAGACAGAGGTAAATTATGGGATCAATGGGACAGAGTTATGATGGTAGAGCATACAACAGCTCACCCGAAAGTCTCGCATTGTAATCACGGGTCTATTTTTATGAAGAACACCCCCCCCCCTCCCCCCACAAACAAGCCAACACAAGAACACTTCTCACCCACACATACAAATACTATAACCGCCCTCACCTCACCCCCACCTCACCCCCCACCTCACCCTCGCATACACGCCAACACTATAACCCCACCCTACAATAAAATATCTTCACCAATAGTTTAGTCCCCCCCCCCAACAAGCGAACGTTGGACTAAAATGTCTCCACCAATGTTCCCAGGCCCACCCCACCCTCACGCTAACCAGTGTTTCTTTCAGACTTTTCTCCACAAATGTTCCCCCACCCCATAGACAAGACAACCCTAGACTTGAATGTCCCCCAAATCCACCCCCACAACCCCCACCCCACCACCCATGGTTCACCCACCCACCCCACCCCCACAGTGAAGCTAACTCTAGACTTGAATACCCCCCAGGTTCACCCCCATTCTTCCCCAACTTCACGCCAACCCCACCCCAACAGCTAACCCTAGACTTCAATGCCCCCCAGGTTCACCCCCGCCCGTAGAAGCTCCCGTTTCGGCTCGGTGCCAATCGTCCGATGCATCAACACCGGGAAGGGTATCGTCTGTGTCTCAATGGATCCCCCCAAAAGAAAAAAGCCCCCCACCTCCCCGTCGAGGGAACCCAAAAAACCCTTCAGCCCCAGGGTGGAGCAGACGGTCACCATGAAGGCGCCGAGCCTGTGCGAGACCCACATCCTCGACCATATGAGGTAAAACATGATTTCAGAGATTCTAAAATATGGCTGGTAAGTAGGTCACCAACCAGTTCTATGGCTCATGCAGGTTTTATTGAGCAGTAGAACTGATTGGTGAACTACTTACCAGCCCTATTGGTAACATATTCCTATCCCTGACATACCACGGACAATATTTTAGACTAAGTTGCAAACAATGTGATCATACAAAATTATCCCCATTGAAAATTGTAATTTTCCCAGAGATTCTCAAATTGGTAACACATTCCTACACTTGAAATACCACGGGCAATATTTTAGACTAAGCAGCAAAATATGTCATCAAGCAAAATTATCCGACCTAAAAAATTAATTTTCCCATGTAGTAAAATTACACTGTATTTACTAGCGATGTAGCGGCAGAGGCGTAGCGAGGAGGGGGGGGGGGGGGGGCGGGGGGTGCGGACCGCACCGGGTGACACCATTTAGGGGGGTGACACCAAGGCAAAAAATAGCAAAATATATAGAGAAAAACTTGAGAAGGGGTGCAAATCGAAAGTTTGAGGGGGAGGGTGCAAATCGAAAATTTGAAATTTTGTTCCCGGGTCGCTATGCCTCTGGGGGTGACACCATTAAGTGCAGCACCGGGTGACACCAGACCTCGCTACGCCACTGCGTAGTGGTAGGTGGGTAGAGCATACGACTACTAACATGAAAGTTCAGATTTCAATCCCGGATACGGGATCGTAGGACGTCCATGAGTCCACCCAGCTCTGAAGAACAATAAAGCTGATATACTCTACTTCATCTGTCCTACCGACTGCCTGGTCCAAAATAGCAACTTTAGTTTCCTAAATGTTTAGGGCATGGCTAAAAACTAGAGATTGTGTTGTTTGTCAATCTCTAACCGATGACATCTAGCTATAACTTTTAAAAATGTGTATTGCCTAAAATAAGACATACACATATAATGAATCGGGCGGTACACATTTTAAATAAACATTTAAAATGTGTTATTAAATAAAACTTTGTAACGTATTTTTTAATAAACATGTTTATCGTTTTTACAAGAAATATTTTTATCGATTAAATTTTTTTTATCGATTTATAAATGAACATGTTTATTGTTGTATAAATGAACATGCTTATCGTTTTATAAATGAACATGCTTATCGTTGTATAAATGAACATGTTAATCGTTTTATACATGAACATGTTCACCCTATCTCTCACCACAGATGTAACTGTATCGCCTGCATGAACTTTGCCTGCAAGTGGCGCAACGCCATGAAAGAACAGTTCCGGAACCATTTCCGGGAACCGAACGCCGTCAGCCCCAAGCCACACCGCTGGACGCCCGGAATCGCCCGAGCCAGTCCGGAAAAAGTTGTCATGCCGTGCCCCGCGAAGAACATCACCTTGGACGAGAGCGCGATGAGACGAGGCAGGACGCTGAAGAAAGTGCGCTCGCCCAAAGTCTCGTGGTGGTTCGGGAACTACGCATCGGAACCGGAAGTCCCGGAGTTCTCGCCGCCGGAAACGCTGCGCCAGAACCAGAAACAGTGCTGCAAATTTTTCTGCACGGCGCGCAAGTCGTGTTTGAAAAACGGCACGGCAGCTTACAAGCCGCGCGAGGAAGAGAGACCAAGTTTGACGTCACATCCGGGGGATTTGACCGAATCTCAGGACGGGTTTGAGGAAGTCGCCATGGACGGGACGCTGCGAGATTCTCGGCTAAAACATTCCAAGCGCGTGTCCATTGATGACTTAGTTCTGGATTCGGATCTGGATGATGGGGCGTGGCCTAGGGGTCAGAGTTCACCGACAACGTGGCAGGAAAGATACAGGAGACGGCATCCACCCGCGCGAAGCTACGGTCGATGTTGCACCGTGGGCAGACAACCCGCCAGTGACGACGACAACGAACTAGGGGACGTAACTACCAACTCGATAGCCGGGAGTGATCAGGACTTCCGGCCGAGAAAGACAGACTTCCGGCTGAGAAAGACAGACTTCCGACAGCCAGACTTTAGAAGCATGTCGCGACTCCATTCCGACAATTTTATGGACACGTTCCACATGCCTAACTACAGTGAGTACCTGTCTCATAAGTCCAAGGATCGAGTCCGACCCTATAGAACCATTAGCGAGCCCAAAAAATTCGGGAAAATGACGACATTGGGCGATTTTGGATTTGATGAGCATTCGGAGAACGAAAGACCCAAGCTTGTTGATACCTCACAAGATGAAGATAATTTTAAGGACTTAGGACATCGTGATAAGTTTAAGGACTTAGGACATCGTGATAAGTTTAAGGACTTAGGACATCGTGATAAGTTTAAGGACCTAAGGCATACTGATATTTTTAAAGACCTGGGACATCGTGAACATTTTAAGGACCCAGGACAGTGTGATAATTTTAAGGACCTAAAACATACTGATAATTCTAAAGACACTGGACATCGTAAAAATTTTAAAGACCTGGGACCTTTAGATTTGGAGGACTTAGGACATCTTGATAGTTTTGAAGACCCTGGAGAGTGTGATAATTTTAAGGACCTAGGACATCGTGATCAGTTTGAACACGACAGCCCAAAGAAAGTAGGGGACGTAGATCAGATGTATTTCACCAAAACCGAGGCGCGCCACCCTTTCAAGGATGAGCTTCAGGGTGAGTCGAAGCACCGGGTGGATGAGTTCAAATCCGTGCCAGAAGTGTTGGGTTCACCTCCCTGCCCTTCGCCACCGGTCAAAGAGAAACGGGTGATTCGCTTCAGCCCTGACGTTTATGCTTCAGAAGATGACGTCACGGAATGGCACGAAGCCCAAGAAAGTTGGTCTTCACCTCGACATCGCTGTGATCACCACCACCACCACGACCACCATTTTGGTTGTCGTAGCGACGACGCCGCCTTCAAAAAGAGCAAGAAGAAGCTGAATTCGTCTAAAAACCGGAAACACTTAGAACACGCCGCGATGCTACCGGAAGTGAAATTTAAAAATGCGTACAGAAGAAGTAGTTCTCATAGCAGGGAGCGGGATATTCATCATCATCACCATGAAGGCAGTGAGATGATGCATTGCAGGTCTCATTGCCGCAGACATTCCGACAGCTTCAAACACGTCCCAAATTATGAGGACGAGAGCAATGACAACAAGTCGACGGGTCTTGGCGGGCGGGTGTTTGGTTTCATCAAAGGTATGATAGGGTACGGGGACACGGTCGAGAAAACTACAACCAAACCTCATGTTTGTAAACACCACACCGGTCCCCACCACTGTGACACACATTCCCACACTCACCCTGCGAGAGGCGGGGGTTCAGGGCAGATGAAAGATAAACACAAAACCAAAAGGAAGCGACATAGAAGATCTTACCACGGAAACAACAACAACCAAAAATTCTTGGACCCCGCGGAAAATGACACTAAACAAAAGCGTCCTATGTTGTCGGCGACCTTTCACCCCGTAAACTCAAAGCGAGGCAGGTCACTTAGTTACGATGACCTAATGCTCGCTGAAAGAAAAGACAGTACTGAAACCTTTTACACCAGAAGAAGCGACTCAAGAATTTCATCCCACAGCCGTGAAAACAAGCGCTGCGTCTCTGGGACATACGCTGGGGGTGATGGCGAAATATCGAACCGAAATCAACGCGAAAAGTCTGAAGCAATCGAAATCTGTCAGGCATCAAACGACCCCGTATTGATACCTAACGAGAAGAAAAATTCAGAGTCTGAAAAGACCGGAAAAAAGGCAACAAATTCCGATTCTTTTGTGTCCGCGGGGGACAAAACCCCATCGACGCATACCAGCCGGTCACGGTTAGCCGGCGAGAAAATAAAAACCGTGTACACCACCGCGTCCCCTCAGAAAACCGTGAGTCCGACCACGGCGCGCGCTAATAAAAACGCCAGCTCGTGGATGTATGTCGATGATCACCAATCCTCCACCGGCTCTTCAACACACGGCAGCAGACCTGCCGGAAATTGCCGGCCTTTCTGCGCATCGGAGCGCGTGTTGAGTGACGGGAGGGTGTGGACGGAGGGTGAGTGGCTGCAGAAGCACACGTCACTGATGACGGAGTGCTCACGGGAGCAGGAGGCCAACGCACGGGCCCGGGTCCAGCGACTCGCCAACCAGACCCACCGGCTGAGGCAGTCGATGAGGACGCTCAGCTTCGACTTTGGCGACATCGAGAAAAGGCTCGAGAAGGTGGTACACACTCACACAATTAGATACATTTAATTTATCCTTCTTTTCTTCAAACCTTTTTTTTTTCGTAGAAAATCTTCCACTCAGAACTTTAGACTGTTATACTGTTTGTGTCCACGTTTGGGACGATTGGGATATATTCTGGTCTCTAAGATTCAGGTCAATTAAGTTATATTCACTATAAGACCATTGTATAATTTAACCATAGTATAGGGAGACCAATGTATAATGAAAACACTGTATAGCGAGACCATCGATGTATAGTGAGACGAGTGTATGTTGAGACCATTATATAGTGAGACCATTCTGTAGTGAGACCATTGTATATTGAAAGTCAAGCTAGGATAGGACAAACTGTAGGTTAAAGTCGGTAAAAGAATTTTTGTTTTTGTGACGCCTATTTGTAGAATGTATCATGTTTCTGTGACGCCTCTCTGTCCTTACTTGCTGACTCCTACGAGCCGTGTCCATGTTGATGACGCCCCTGTGTGACGCATACACCACACGACGACCCATTAGGGTGACACCGATTTACATTTTCCCACTCCATCGATGTCAGAATTCATCTATCATAACGACAATAACAACAAGCAGCCAATCGATCAATAAGCGCTTTACACAGTTCAGAGAATCCGATGACAGTTATTGCTTTTGTCATTTTTCATATTTTTTTCTATTTTCTTATGTTTGGCGATAATATTTATTTATTTATTTCATCCCCCAACGCCGAGATTTTAAAAGAAAAAGTGTGTTCAGTAATTAAATAAAGATTTAATTTATTGATTTATAATTTTAGAGATAAACGGTAAACAATAGATAAAGAATTACTGTACGACTTGTGTGTGTTCTATAGATGTATTATATTTTGTTCTGATGAATCTCTTGCATCCCGTAGTGTTATTTATATGTTAACACTGTGACATGAACGTTATCTTTTGTTACATGTATACCTTTTATTGTTACGACTATGCCTTCTATTGTTACATGTATACCTTTTATTTTTACGACTATGCCTTCTATTGTTACATGTATACCTTCTATTGTTAAATCTATAATCTTCTATTGTTACATGTATACTTTCTTTTGTTACGTGTATACCTGCTATTGTTACATGTATACTTTCTATTGTTACATGTATACCTTCTATTGTTATATGTATACTTTCCATTGTTATATGTATACCCTCTGATTGTTTCAGCGATACACTCTATTGTTACATGTATACCTGCTATTGTTACTTGTATAACTTCTATTATTACAACTATTACTCCTATTGCTACAGCTATGCATTCTATTGTTGTAGCTAAGCCTTCTATCGCTATATCTAAGCCTCCTACAGCTACATCTCTACCTCCTATAGCTACAGCTATTACTCCTATTGCTAGAGCTATACCACCTATAGCTACATCTATACCTACTATAGCTACAGCTATACCTTCTAGCTACTAATCCCTGCCAACCTTGACCCCCCAGGTACGTGACCTCCAACAGGACTACATCGTCAAGTCCAACAGAGCTGTCTACGACGCCCAGCGGCACCGCGGGGCATGCCGGGAACACAACCACAACCGAACATCAGATTCGGACACCGAGTTCGGATCTCGAGACAGCGTCACTTCACGCCATGACGCACGAGCCAACTCGCGTCAGGAGAATCGGTGTTTGGATACGCGTGACGCATCTTGCTGTCGTTATAAAAAGAGTAACGATTGTGAACTGAAGGAGTTGTATAGTTATTTTTTAACCAGCGATGCGAGAGGGAACCCACACGATGTAGATCATGTCCGAACTAGACCTCTTAGACAACACAAAACTCGGTATCCCTACACGGAGAGTGTCGACTCCTCTACCAATAACATCCACGGTTTAAGTTCTGGAAGAGAAAATAGTACTCACGCTTTAAAAGAAAACAACACGTATTATGGAAAAGAAGAAAGTGAAAAAGATCGCAAGCTTGAAAATCGGAAAACCCCGATTTATTTTGGCGATTCGGAGATGCGGAATCAGGGAAAAGAAGTTTGCAAAAACGTTGAACAACCGGAAATTACATCACATGACTTTCGGCTAACTGATACCAATACGGATACAAAAGTCGGAAAATCTAATCATAGACGGAAAACGGACGATTCTACGCACCGTGATTTAAAAATTCGGACCGACCAATTGACAGAGGTGCTGAAACGAAACAATTTAATTCTCCGTAAATTAAACCTGGGTATATTCGCGCAGCCGGATAAAGACACGAAAAATGTCTGCAATTTGAACAGACTCGGGAAATTAGCGTCCATTCGCGGGGATTGTCTGGTCTGACTACAGACACCAACAGCAGACTTTTTGACTCGACAAAAGCAGACTTTTTGTCTGCTATCACCCATACGGTAGCTGACCGGTTTTTTTCTAACCGGATTCCGCCTCAAACTGAACGAAATGACCGACTGGATTTTCCCCGCTCCTTTCAACAGCAGTAGAAAACCACTTAAATGATTTATTCCTTAAGACAAAGGAGAAGAATTTCCGAAAGAATCGGCCCCTGGGGGATTGTGGGATAGAATGGATGCAGACAGTACGAGGGTAGTGGTGGAGGGAGGGGGGTGGGGCGAGGGGGGGACTACTACTTATCATAAGAAACAGCGCGAGCCACTTAGTATTCATAAGCCATAGTTCGCCAGACTAGTCCTGGAGTTCATTATCTCTGCACCGATGAGCACTTCCGGTTCGGAAGTTTGGTGCGAAACTAGGGGGGTCAATAGTTCACAGACAGAATGGTGGGCTGAGAAGGGTGGGTGGGGGTGGGGGAACGTGATGTGGATATCAATGAAGACGACAGTATTTCAAACGAAGTAGAGATGTTTTTTTAAAGATATTCTATAGTTTAAACTATTTTAAGTTGGATTATTATTTTTTACGAAAAGCAATATAAAGCTCTTTAAAATAGTGGGTCCTTTTAATAGTCTGAATATGTACAATTTTTTTATGCAATAGGTTATTTTTTTTTTTTTTTTTTTTTTTTTGGAAAAAAATATTTTTAACTGTATATTTTAACGAGGTCAACTTCATTACATATTTTTTTTTCTAATTATACCAGTTTATAACATTTTAACAAATATATCGGATGAAGTTTACTAATGTGAATGAGTGTATGTATATAAATATTTATTTATACATGTGTGTAAAGATTTTACTTTTTATACTATCAAATACATAATGTATGTGAATGATATCTTGAAAGACTAATTTTATTTTGCTGAAGAAAAACAACTATAATGCATGACATGAATTTGACGTTTTTCTTAAAATACATTGAGATATGTTTAAACGATAAAAGTTGTGCACTTCTCTTACAGCATGTGGGTGTTTTTTTTTTTAATTCAACAATGAGTGATTCTTCTTCTTCTTCATTCTTAATTTTTGTGTTGAAAGGTATCAAGCCTTATCTGCCAGAGGGTTTGAACTCGAGACTTTTTCGAATTTATCAACCATGAGCTTTTGCCGACTCGACTACGCCTCCAACACAAGTATATATTTCAACTGGTTATGCGCCATTGAGGCCATTGACTCCGATTTCAGCCTGCTTTTCTTTTTGGATTTGCTTCCATAGCCTTTGTCCAACCAAGAACAAACTACAAAGCAGCAGCAGTTGTTTGATTTTGGTGTTGTCTCTACTAGAAGAGTGGCTGTCCCCAGCTAACGAGCCTCATCTGCCCGAGGGTTCGAACTCGAGACTTTCCGGTTTAGTAACAATGAGCTTTACTGTCTCGACCACGCCGACCACTAATGAGTGATTGATTGCCGCATCGTTGATGTGATCAGATCGATTGACATGCATCGTGTAATTTTGATTGACAAAAACCGACGATGTTGATTGATATTCATAACCAGAAAACAGTTTTGGTGGCCTAACAATAGTTTTTGTTTAAATGCCCGAGTAAAAATATCATTTTCTGGAGTTACAGAACTCATTTTAAAAAAATAGCTTCCAGTCACGGGTTATGCAACCAATAATACCCCCCCCCCCCCCCACACACACCCCACCCCCACGCCACTCACAAAGATAATACACTATTGATGAAATGTCATAGAAATGGGCAGCCAGACGAAACAAAATGAAGGTCGTCATAAAACCAATGAATCTTTCTCTTCTAGTTAGGTGGACGTTTTACTTTCTATTGATCTTAAATATGGCATCAGTCTGCCATTCAAACCTCGTAATGATTTGAATAACGATATATTTGGGTTATTGATTGCTGGTGGTCATTAAAGCAAAGATTAACTTGAATTAACCAAACGTACAATTTGCTTCTTCTACAAGTTTGATAGAAATTGTAGTCACTCCGGACTTGTTATATTGATCACTGCAACATTTTGTAACACGTATTTGTTACAAGTTTGATAGAAACTGAAAAATAGGTCATCACTTATTATATCTGTCTCTACAATATTTTGTAACACGAATCTGTTACAAGTCAGATAACGACTTGTTAACTTCATCTCTACAACACCCTGTGTCACTTATCTGTGTATGAAATGAAAATTTAGAGGACGGCTGTGTGTATTCAACTTGCAGAGGCGTAGCGAGGGGGGGGGGGCGGGGAGGGGGGACATATGTCCTCGGGCGCCGACCTTGGGGGGGGGCGCCAAATTGAAAGTTTGAGGGGGGGGGGGTCGCAAATGAAAAGTTCGAGGGGGGGGGGGTTGCAAATCGGAAGTTTGAGAAGGGGGTGCAAATGAAAAGTTCGAGGGGGGGTGCAAATCGAAAGTATGTCCCCGGGCGCCGGGAAGGGTCGCTACGCCTCTGTCAACTTGGATTACAGTAAGTCAGTGGGTTGCTCCCTTCTAAATAGACAAAGGTCAGTAGGGCTGCTCCGTTGCAACCAACTATTGAAATAAGAGCTTTTTTTTTTCTAATGATATTTTCTCGTCAATCACGGCCACTCTTGGAAATTCAATAATACTGGTATTTTTGTGCGTATTCAATTTTTTTTAAAAGACCAAAGTTTAACCAAATAAAGCAGACGTTTTGAACGAACGACCAGTTTTGGAGTTCTTACAAAAATTTTTAAAATTCGAAATTGACTATAATTTAACTCTTTCAACTTGTACTGTAAGAACCGATGCTCACCCCCCCCCCCCCCCGACCACCCATGAAAAAAAAACCAACTATACCACTAGCATATAATCTATGAAATATATTTATAAAAGCGTTTATAATAACCAGCTATTATTAATAGTTATATAACTAATGAAATATTATTATATTTAAATTATTTTTTGAGCGTAAGTTATTTTCTTTGATATCACTAAGATAAAAAATCTCCATACTCTAGTCACTATATCAGAAACCATTTTTATTTGAAAGTAACGAATTATCAGCGGGGTAATAATAGTACTTCAATGAAGGCGTCATTTCTACATCTAATTGTGTTTTTCTTGCTTGAAAGTTTAGTTTCCTCAAACAGGAATTACGCTACAAAGTACAACCCGAGTTGGTAATGTGAAACGCCCTTTCATTTAGACCCTCATCATGAGTTCGAAGATCAGAGAGTTATAGATCTCAGACATGTTGCAATTGGAAAAATCTAAAGCCTAATGATTTTTTTTTAGATTAACCTTTTTTTCTGTGTAAGCTTTGTGAGTATTAGAAGCGTGAGTCAAAAGCGGTTTTTTAAAGACGAAGCACGTGTGATTATTTTAAAAATGAAAGGTTGGATTTAAAAAAAAATTGATTACAATTTTTTTTTTAATAATCTGGGCAACAAAGTAAACGAAAGAGTATGCTCCGTGAACTTATCAAAGACAACATCGTGAAGGAAAGACCAAAGTTATATCAAGTTAACAAAGACAACACCCTTAAGGGAAAGACCAATCTTATATCAAGTTTACAAAGACAAAGTGAAGGGAAGACCAAGTCACATAAAGTTAACAAAGACAACAAAGTGAAGGAAAGAACAAAGTTATATCAAGTTAACAAAGACAAAGTGAAGAAAATACAAAAATTTCAAGAAGTGTAGGAAATACCAAAGCGTTGGGAAGTTATCAAAGACAACAAAGTGTAGGAAAGACCAAGTCATATAACGTTAACGAAGACAACAAAGTGAAGACAAGACTAAAACCTGTCTAATTAACAAAGACAACACATTAAAAGAAAGACCAAGTCACACAAAGTTAACAAAGACAAAAAATTAAAAGAAAGACCAAGTCACATAAAATTAACGAGGACAACAAAGTGAAGACAAGACTAAAACCTGTCTAATTAACAAAGACAACACATTAAAAAAAGACCAAGATCGTGAAAGCAACACCGGGGCCAAAAGTCACAACAAAGTAACCTTTTGATCCCCACGGCAAAGATTGGATACGGGGATTACAGCGAGAAATTTCCGATAGAGTTATCAGGAAAATGGGGCGGATCAATACCCCATCGCGCGGTTACCCCAGAGGATTTCGCACGAATTGTATCTGCAACACAAAAGATTTCAAACCTAAATCTCCGCCTAGCTCGACCGCTAGCATTACAAAACCTCCATTCTGATGTTGGGGAAAGAAGTTTTTTTCTGCAAGATTTAATACCCCTGCGTTCAAGGGTGTATAGTCTCATTACCCCTGCCCCTCCGTCATCCTCTGTCTTTCTCTCCCCTCCCCCGGTATAGTAGGAATGAAAGACAACTGATTGACAAATAAATCAATCCGAAAACCTGAAGATTGCTGAAATTCTCTCGTCTGCGGCAAGGATTTACGCACCATTTTTTGCTGATTGCTGGTGAGAAAACGAGTTTTTTTTTGTTGAAAAAGATAAATAGGCTCGTTGTGGCTCGTTGTGGCTCGAAGAGGCTCGAAGAGGCTCGTTTAGATCGTCTGCATGATGGTTCGATGATTACGTCGATAAAAAAACATTTTCGTCAATGTTTTTACGTAGGCAACGATTGAAATCATTAGTTTTACGTATGGAGTAATATGTTTTATACATTTTACAATAATATTATTGTTACATTTGACAATATTTTTGTTTACATTTGATAATTTTTTTTTACATTCGAATTTTTTAAAATTTGACAATATTTTTGTTTACATTTGAACTATTTTTTTTTACATTAAATTTTTTTTAATTTGACAATATTTTTGTTTACATTTGAACTATTTTTTTTACATTAATTTTTTTTACATTGTTTTGTTTATATTTGTGAATCGTTTAGTTAATTTTGTTAACATTTCATATAGGGGTCATCCATAAATGACGTCACGCTTTTTTTGACGATTTTTACCTCCCCCCTCCCCTCCGTCACACGTCGTCACAAAAAGCCAGACCCCCCCCCAAAATGACGTCACACCTCAACCTACAACCCCCCCTCAAAATTGCAGTTGAATTTTTTTAAAACATCGATATTTTTCCAAAATCTTGTCTAAACTATTACAATTTATTAAAATAGTTATCTAAAACGCGAAATAACATCTAAAATTCGTTTTCTAATATTGCTTTTTTATAATGCAAAAATGTGACGTCGCAACATCTGAACCCCCCCCCCCCCTCCCCCTCATCACACATCGTCACAAAATTACGGACCCTTTCTTCCTCCTACGAGTGTGACGTCATTTATGGATGACCCCATATGTAATTCTTGACATAAAATTTTCAATTCTTTGTAAAAAAAAAAAACATTTTTATTTGACCTCGTAACAATAGAAAAGAGGTGTGAAGTTTAAGAGAAATTTAAAACCATTTTCTTTGACCTGTGTCTGTGAAGGTCAAGGCCACACGACGCGTTCAGATAACCAGATGAGCTCTACTTCATCTGCTTTAGTGACCCTTCTTGTACAAAACTGTGATAAAAGATGAACATTAGTTTCACACATTTTCTTATATTTGATTTTTAGTTTTACAATTCTCATACGTTTCTTTCCCAGTTATGATTTGTTTTTCATTAGGCTAGAAATCACAAGATGAATTCAACTAGACAGGGTTAGACAAGAGAAAGTAACAAGCCATCCATTTTTGTATTTCTTTAGAGCGGAGTGATGTGTCTTTTAGCGGCAAAGATGTATTTTATTAATGTAGTTTTCTTCTCTTGCGGTAAAGTAAAACATTTCTCTCATACAGAACAATGTTGAGTGGGAAGACGGGGTAAAAAGTCCATAAATAAACGGATCTTCCCTATTCTTGTCCCTGTGTTTGAACTATGTCGGGAATAATTTACCGGGGGCCCGGTATGATGGGACCGCCTGGAATTGGTGTGGACTTGTGGGAGCCGGGCCATGTCACGCTCTGTTAACCACGAGACACGGGATAGACCCCGGTGGGTCGGGCAAAGCATACGTTGGGTTGGCTTTTCCAGTGGCTTGAAGGGTCATCTTCAATCGTCATCTCAAACCGTCCTATCAAGCCATAGTTGTTACTTTCTCGTATATACGAAGTATAGAGAAAGTCTTGTAATCGTGCAAAAAAAAAATAGAGATTTTTACAAATCTCGACGTTTTACACCTCACTGATACGGAAAAACATAATTTTGCAATCTTGTCCGTATGTCTGTGTGTGTGTCTGTGTGTCTGTGTGTCCGTGTGTAAACACGATAACTTGAGTACCGTTACTGCTAGGTTGATGAAATTTCATATATAAGTATTTTATCAAAATCGTAGATCCGTATCAACTTTTGAGCGATTTCCGATAACCGGAAGTGGTACTTTTTCTACTTTGAATTTTTCAAAAGCCTATAACTTGAGTACTATTTCAGATAGATAAATGAAATTTCACATGTAAGTAAAAGATCTAATTCTCTACCTTCTGTTAAATTTTGAGTAATTTCCGTTGACCGGAAGTAGTAATTTACGCTACTTCCGATTTCTCAAAAAACTAATGTAAATTTTAAAAGTACTAATAATATTGCGCACTATTATGCGCTTTTTTATTTCGCGTTCACTTGGTGTGCAATTAATTTGTCTACGAGATTTTATTCTATTTTTAAAAATTTAAGTATTTAAAATGGATTCTATTTTTAAAACTTTAAGTATTTAAAATGGATTAAAAATCATGTCTATAGCCCGAGTTCCCATCCCCTGTTATTTTATATAAAAATATTCCAGAAAGTTTAGGGGAGATCACTCCCGGTTTATTTTTTTACAAGATTGTTGAAACGTTGACTTAAAGAGCTCTGATAATGTCCTCAAAAATTGTCTGCTCAATAATAAGTAAATAATGTTCATATGGCAGGTGAAGTAGACTTCACGTGTGTCAGTGACCTCGGTATTTGAAGGGATGGTGTGGTCAGCACGATGACCAGCGACCATTATTTTTCCTAACTTCAGCCAGGTACCCATCAGAGCTGAGTGGACTCAGGCAAGTCCTATAGTGAAGCCCTGGATTCGAACACGTGACCTTCGGATTAGCAACCGAACCCTTTAGCATTCGACCATTCCTCTCAATAACAGTTCTCTCAAAGGTCCCCGTGGCAAGGTCTTCTTACCACTATCCATAAGGTCATGTAATTCATAATGTCGTAAATTCAAAATGTCTTCTAACACTATCCATAAGGTCATGTAATTCATAATGTCATAAATACAAATGTCTTCTTACCACTATCCATAAGGTCATGTAATTCATAATGTCATAAATTCAAATGCCTTCTTAACACTATCCATAAAGTCATGTAATTCATAATGTCATAAATTCAAATGCTTTCTTAACACTATCCATAAAGTCATGTAATTCATAATGTCATAAATTCAAATGTCTTCTTACCACTATCCATAAGGTCATGTAATTCATAATGTCATAAATTCAAATGTCTTCTTACCACTATCCATAAGGTCATGTAATTCATAATGTCATAAATTCAAATGTCTTCTTAACACTAGCCATAAGGTCATGTAATTCATAATTTCATAAATTCAAATGTCTTCTTAACACTAGCCATAAGGTCATGTAATTCATAATGTCATAAATTCAAAATGTCCTCGAAAGTTGCTCCCTAATTATTTCTCATAAAGTTTCAAAACAAAAATGTCTTAAACAGCTAAACAAGTGTCACATAACAGGTCATCTTTCAGGTCAACTTATAGGCTATCTTTCTTGTCACCTAAGGCGTCATAAAATGTCTCACTTAAGGAGCATCTGACCTTATGGATTACCTGGTCTTATGGATTATCTGACCTTATGGATTACTTGACGTTATGGATTATCTGACCTTATGGATTACCTGACCTTATGGATTACCTGACCTAATGGATTATCTGACCTTATGGATTATTGACCTTATGGATTATCTGACCTTATGGATTACCTGACCTTATGGATTACCTGACCTCATGGATTATCTGACCTTATGGATTATTTGACCTTATGGATTATCTGACCTTATGGATTACCTGACCTTATGGGATTACCTGACCTTATGGATTATCTGACTTTATGGATTACTTGACGTTATGGATTATCTGACCTTATGGATTACCTGACCTTATGGGATTACCTGACCTTATGGATCCCCTGACCTTATGGATAACATGACCTTATGGATTACCTGACCTTATGGATTACCTGACCTTATGGATTACCTGACCTTATGAATTACCTGACCTTATGGATTACCTGACCTTATGGGATTACCTGACCTTATGGATTACCTCATGGATCAAGTGGCTGACCCATCTAACACGAACCGATACAGTTAAGGACATTGTTCACTTGCCTCGCCTAATTATCAATTCTTTAATTAGCATGTCAGGCATCTAATCATATCCACTCAATAAACAACACATCCGTGGTTTTTAAAATACAATGGCTATAAAAGTTTATTTTAAAATGTATATTTTTCTAGATTGTAAGAAGTGATATAAGCATTAAAAAGTTAGAAACTGTAAGTACGTGTAGAGAAAGCTATGATATTACCCTGATCTTGTCGCTGATGGAATCCATAGTTAAAACATTCAAAGAGTGACCGCGGTACCACTGTGGTGATGACGACGATGGAATGGCTGACCACAAACTAAACGCCAGTTTAGATCTAACTCTCAACCCAGGAAGCCGGCACCACCAAGGGGACAAAGTTGCTGCCCTCAAACTCTTCGTCATCCTCTAGCTCGACCACCGTGATCTTCTCGAATACTCCAGGCACTGACCTCACCGACGCCGAATGCACCGTCCCGTCGTCCACGCAGAACAAAAACAATTCGCCTTTGTAGTAAGCCGCCCCGCGCAGCATCCATTGAAAGTTGTTCCAAAGATTTGCCACGTTGGGAAACTGTATCTCACCGTCGTCGCCTCTTTTGACAGCTATCAAGACCCCGCTCGAAAGGAGAAGAAACAGTTCCTTTTCTTTGTGAAAGACTGTAGAGATCCCTCTGTGGACGACGGGTATTCTACTGGTTGTCATGGACTTTGTGTCCGTGTTGTAAATGTTCACGACCAAGGTATCAAGCTGCATTGTTACCATGTTAAAATCCGAATGAGAAATCAAAAGGATATTGTTTTCAAACACACAAGCCAGATCATACTTGATACTGAGGTCAAACTTGACAATCTCGAACAATTCTGGGTTCAGCACGCGACTCCTTGTCGCACACTGGCAGACGCCGAGAATCTTGCCGTTCATGTTCAAAAGTTTCATCGGCATGTTTTGTTTCCCGCAGACCTCATACAAGGCGGAAATTTTTTTGTTTTCATCCACAGTGAGAATCGCTTTGGGCCGGCACTTGTGTCGGACATGGATACAGTCCCCTTTGTACTTGACGCCCACAAAGACGAGCTTCGAGCCCAGGGTGGCGAGGCGCACCTTGGTTTTGAATTTTGCGTGTATGTTCCCAAGCTCGACGGTGTTGAAGCTCCTGGTCTCAAGGTCGTAGATTTGGAGCTTCGACTTCTCGATGTAGGCCATCACGTTTCTCTTCTCGCTACACTTTCTGTAGGGGGTCATCAGGGAACTTTCGAAAGGGTAGGTCCCGTCCTTGAACTTTAAGGCTTCTCGCACGACCTCGCGCGCAGAAGGGCTGTTGCGGACGTACGGGTGAGCTAGTAGACACTCCAGGAAACTTCGGCTGGCTAGAACCAGTTTAGCGCTGGACAATAATTTGGCGAGGTATTTTCTTCTGTCGCCCTGTTCCTCATCATCGGCTGCGTCGTGAGACTTTATGGTTATGACATCATCAAACTTGGTAGATATGACGTCACCAGACGTGTCATCCATGACGTCATCATTCGCGTTGTTTACGACGTCGACGGGCGTGTTGGCTGTCGCGTCCCCATCGCGAGCGTCAGCTCTAGAGTCGGCAGACTGGCAATCAGCTGTGACGCCACAAGTCTGGACGCCAAGGGGCTGGAGCTCCCCCTCTGCCAATCCGTCCTCCGCGCCCTGCTCCATTTCTACAGGTGGCATTATGGTACCTGGTTTAATACCTCCGCGCGACACCCAGCTCAGAATCCCCTCCAGAACTACATCCTCCGTCTCGACAACCAGCTCATCGTCCTCGACAAAAGACAACACCAAAGGAAACGGACAATTCAGAAATTCATCCGTCTCTAAAACACTCCCGAAATTTCGCTTCATGAAATTTATCAAGCCATTTTTCACGTTTTCTGAATTCAAATCAATGGCGGCTTGGTTGAAATGGGACAAATTTTCAAGCGACAAATTATCAATGACGTACTGCTCGCATACCTGTAAATAAGTTTCTATATCTAGACGGTTCGCCGCCTCCCAAACCTCGTCGATGTTTTCGGGCGTCAAACCGGGAACTTGGTGGTGGATGAAGTTTAAAACTGTAGCGAAGATGTCACTGCGCATGCCCGTCAGAACCACGCGGCCTTGCAGCGTTTCCTTCATGTTGCTCCTGAACATGGCGTCAAAGTACTTGGAGGCTGAGCTAAGGCGTTCTCGGTCGCTTCTGAAATGGCTGCCGCAAACCACGATAGTAAAGTCACGTGTCACCAGGTCGAGAGTCAGCTTCTTCCTCATGCAGGACTGGGGGCCACGGCTATAAGGTCGTCCAGACATCTTGGAGGCTGATTTGCCTAGAGGAAAGGTTATAATTTCATCTCGTTGTTTATCGAATAGTTCAGTCTTATGTTAAGATTGTTGTTAGGTATAGGGACAGAGGGTTCTTAAACTTTTTTTTAAATTTCGGGGAGGGGTGGGGGTTGAAGTATACATTTTCTTTAAATATCAAATATATTTAATAAAATGACTGGAGGGGGTGTAGATAGTTGTCTGAAAGAAACACTAGTTTGATGATAAAATAAATATCAGAATGGTAAAAGGAGGAGGGTGTCTGACAGCATGACTGTAAGAGTGTAGTGTTTGCAGGTAGATATGGTGACGTAGCCTGCTGGAGAAGGCTGAAAGGATTTGGAAGACATTGAGAATCCTGTAAAGTGTGGGGAATGGAAAGCTTTGATAGATGCCCTATATTTTGCAATGAACGAAAAGTAATATTCACTGGCGGCAGTGTGTAGTAACGTTACTTTCAGTGTTAGGGTTAGTGGTTAAGTTTAGTTAGGGTTAGTGTAAATTGTAAATGTATAGGAACAAATAATCTTGCTCACTTGTGATTTTTATAACAAAGAAGATCCAAGATTTCCTATTTCCGCGCCAAATGAAGTATGTTGACAAACTTCAGTAGCTAGGTAGCCATTGTAAGATCCACATCCGTTCATTAGCCAGAATTTGCGCATCATCGTTTTGAAGGTGCGTTTTTGTTTTTAAAGATCTTTTTATTCTCTTGTAGGTTAGCTCCCTTCTCTGTTATGTTATTCTGCTGTTAATTCACCTCTCTAGTATGTTATTGTGATGTTACCTCGCCTCTCTAGTATGTCATTGCGATATTACCTCGCCTCTCTAGTATGTTATTGTGCTGTTATCTCGCCTCTTTAGTATGTCACTGTGCTGTTAACTCACCTCTCTAGTATGTTATTGTGCTGTCACCTCGCCTCTCTAGTATGTTATTGTGCTGTTACCTCGCCTCTCTAGTATGTTATTGTGATGTTACCTTGCCTCTCTAGTATGTTATGACGCTGTTATCTCACCTCTCTAGTATGTTATTGTGATGTAACCTCGCCTCTCTAGTATGTTATTGTGATGTAACCTCGCCTCTCTAGTATGTTATTGTGATGTTACCTCGCCTCTCTAGTATGTTATTGTGATGTTACCTCACCTCCCTAGAATGTTATTGTGATGTTACCTCTCCTCTCTAGCTAGTGTTAAGCTCTACCCTCTCCTTGTTCTAGAACACAGTACCTGAAATATTTATCTTAAGCCTCTATGTGGCTTGTCTGAAAATGGTTTCAGATCCTGATCACATCAGTCAAGCTAAAAAGCACGTTGGACGTATATAAGGGATCATAAAAATCCCTTATAAGATTTGTTCCAAGATGTATTTTCTATTTGAATTTAATTATTTTTTTCGTCTAGGAGGAGGGGGAGCACTTCCCTTACCCCACCCCCCCCCCCCCACCCCCCGGATTAACGCCCGCAAGAAACTCTGTTTGCAGCATCACACAGTGAGTTTTATTTGAGTGTTGACTTCCCTGTATAAACTCAACGCCCGGCACTATAAAGACGTGTTTCCAAATGTCCCGGAAACAGTTTTAAAATGAAACCAGAAGCACCCGTTTCGGTAAACAGATAGAGAAGTGCGTGCTTTGAATAAATCAAAAAGTTTAACCGTATTTTCAGAGGGAGGGAAGAAATAACGAACTAAACATTGGTAAACTTGTTTAAGGTATAGATGAGATGCGTTCTAAAAATAAAACAGATTTCTTTAAAAGTGTGTATTTTATCTATCTCACAAAACAAATACGTGATGACCTGGGTACAACCGAAATAGAAGCCAAGATTTCTATTAGCAAAAATAATGTTGTTAATTAAGGAAAAGGCTGGGTAACTGAAATTAGTGGAGCATTTTCCTCCCCGAGGCGAGGGCTAATTTATTCATTGGATTGGAATATACCCTCTCTCTCTCCATTTCATTTTCCTCTTGTGTATGTGTATATGTGTGTGTTGTGTGTGTGGTGGGAAGATCAGCTAAATTTTAGTGCTCGTAATTATATATATATATATATATATATATATATATATATATATATATATATATATATATATATATATATATATATATATATATATATATATATATACTAGCCGTCCCGGCCAGGCCCTGCTCTGGCTTCTGTGAAAAACCTTTCTGTTAAAGACCATTACCTGTGTGTTTAGTAATCATCATAAACCCGGCATTGCCCACCCAAACTACAACCAACCAAAACAACAAAACGCAAACATAACGCTAACACAATTACAAATACAAACGAAAACAAAAACCTAACAACAAACCCAACCACAACCACAAACACCAATACAAACACAAAGAAAAAACAAACAAAAAAGCAAACGAAAACAAAAACCTAACAACAAACCCAACCACAAACACCAATACCAACAAAAAAAAACAACGAAAAAGCAAACGAAAACAAACCAAATCCAAACGCAAAATCAACCAAAAACACAAATACAAACCCAAACAAAAAAACACAAACAAAAACGAAAAAAGAAAGAACAAAAACGAACCAAATCAAAACGCAACCACTAACGCAAACCCACCTAAACACAAAGAAAACACTAACGCGAACATAAACGCCCGGGGCGGAATCACCTGTTTTAGCTTAATGAACGACTATAGTACCCCAACTTATTCATAGTCTTTTGCACTCACTTAAACGAACGCGCCTGTTTCAATTTGATGAACAATTTTAATACTCCAAGCTTATCCGTAAAATACCTAAAACATTTGCACTTGATCAATCCCCGCTAATTATGTAATTATTTTTTTTTCCCAACACCAAAACAAAGTAATTAAAAAGTAAATTATTTTCGACTAATGCAATGGTTTTATAAAGGGAAGTAATTTTGTTTTCCTAATTTATCAAAGGGAAGTAAGTGCTATAGGACTAAATAAAGACATAATTAGAATTTTTGTAAAAGATGATATTTTTTTAAAACTTGTGTTTAATGAACATGCCGACAATTATTACTATAATTTGAAAAATGAAAATGATTTCCCAACACTTTCAATAGTAAATTTTTAGCTTATAAATTTAGACAAATGCGCACGATAATTTTCTAACACTTAAATTCATACAATTCCAACGACAAACATATGCATTACATACAGAACTGAGCTTTATATATATATATATATATATATATATATATATATATATATATATATATATATATATATATATATATGTGTGTGTGTGTGTGTTAGTGTGCATATGTGTGTGCATATGTGTGTGCATATGTGTGTGCATACGTGTGTGTGTATGTGCTCAATTTAGAACTTTCTGTCAGTGGTCAGTAGATTAATTTAATTGTTTCGCATTATTGTAAATATAGTTAGGCATTCAATAATAACGGAAAAGACTAACGAATAGCATGAGCTTTTCATCGCATGATGTTCATCTCAGTGTTTGTGTTTCTGTAAAATCTTTAATATAACGCACTGATGTTGTTCAAGGGAGGCTATACACCTCTAAACACACTTTTCTACATTGCTTAAAATTTTCCCGACCTTTATGAACCCAAAATCCTATCCCATAATTCCCATAACGAATTTCAGAATATCTTAATTTCTCGTTAACTAGGTTTTACATCCATATTTCTTTTTTCGAATTAAATTTCTGTTTATTTTGCAATTTCTGAACGATAAACTCCCTTGAGTTGGGTAACTGGTATTAATGATAGCGAAATGATTTATGTCAAGCGAGGCTGCGATTTGAAAGAACGGAAGAAAATGTTTAGCTGCCGATTCATTTTTAGCTAATTATAGCTGATGTTTTTTTTCATTCCAAACGTTGTATTATTTTAAGTAATTCGGCATGATATTGTTTTTCTAGCTTGACAGTAATAATTTACTAAAACTATTCTAAGAAATTCGGCATGCTGTTATGTTATCCTTTCTTCGCTACAATATTTTTCCTAAATAAATTTTTTGAATTTGACATGAAGTTGTTTTTGTAATGCGGTTAAAATATCAAAATTAATGCAAAATTTTAACTAATTGTGTCCGTCGGGTTGATTTAGTTGTTGAGGGCTAATTAGGTTATTCTAATTACAGCGATTTTTTTCGCTCGTGACCCGAAACCCGATTACGCCGCTAATTAACACGACAGAGGAGATGATTAATTTTCATCATGTTGAAAAGTGCTCTGGCATCTTGACGCGAATGCTGAGGTTTTCAGTCTCAATCTCTGGTGGTGAGATAAACAGATGAACTCTACTTCATCGAAATCGGGAAATTCTCAAAACTCGACGTTTTACACATCTCTGAGTAGGAAAAACATATTTTTGCGATTTCGTACGTATGTCTGTAGGTATGTTTGTCTGCGTGGACGTGTGTATATGTGTGTTTGTGTATATCTGTGAACACGATTAATCGAATATCGTTACAGTTAGGTTGATAAAATTTCATTTGTAAGTATTATATCAAATTTGTAATTCTGTATAAACTTTTCAGCGAGTTCCGGTATACCGGAAATGGAACTTATTCCACTTTTACTTTTTCAAAAGCTTATAACTTGAGTACTGCCGTCTCTCAAATTTTGTGTAATTTCCGTTAATCGGAAATAGTGCTTTAAACTATTTCCGATTTCTCAAAAAAAAAAAAAAAAAAAAAAAAAAAAAAAAAAAAAAAAAAACAACCGGATATAAATTTATAAAGTACTTATATTCCGCACTATCATACACACAATGCTTGCTGTTTACTTGGTGCGCAACTTTTTTTTCTTCTAGATTCTATTATATTTTTAAAATTTTAAGTAATTAAAAATTGATAAAAAATCATGTCTATATCCCGAGTTGCCATCCCCCGTAGTGTTGTATAAGAATATAAGAGAAAGTTTAGGAGAGATCACTCTCGCTTTATTTAAATTAATCAAACTGCGAAAGAACAATAAGAATGGGGAAGGGGGTGGGATAGTGGCGTATTGATATATATATATATATATATATTTTAAATTTAATCAAACTGGATTATTAGAAAAAACAAATTTCTTCCAATTCAAAACATATCGGGCAAGTTTTTGGTGTAGTTTGCACCTTACGATACAACGTTCCCTCTCATCCAAGAGTAGTTTGTTAAATTTTTTTTCCTCAAGATTTCCGAACCTGATTTTCTCTTCTCCTCGCCACAGAACAAGCGGAAGTGACGTGGGCATTATTCAAATGTTCAACCCTGTGACGACTTGAGGTTGGAACTGGATTAACTTCAAACATTGAGTCTGTGACTTAAAGTGCCTCAACCGCTCCTCTCACTAATGGTGTTAGCCAAACTTTTGTCCCCCTGATAAAAATGCAGATTTGGTTACACAATTTACAGATTTAAGGGACCTTACGTTGTCAAATTGTTAGGAAGATCTCTGTACAGAGTTATGGGAAGTTACCTCATGTACACTTGTTAGAGGAAATCTAAATTTAGACAAAAGGGAAGTTACCATTGTGTACACTTGTTATGAAGATCTCAGTACAGAATTAAGAGATGTTAAGTAGTGTACACTTATAGTGAAGCCTCTAATTAGAGAGTTAAGGGACGTTACCATCGCGTACCCTTTGTCAAGAAAATCTACTCAATACAAAGTTAAGGAATCTCATGTCAATTTAACTTGTTAAAAAGA